ATGTCCAGATCCAAGCTCGGTCATGCGTAGATCAAAATCGGTCCTTTTCAGGACCACTCAAAACGTAATACGTTGCTACAACAATCTTGTCACATTAAAGGAATAGACATTATAAGGAATAAAGGGTACCTTCTGAAATTCACTGACGTTACAGCGAGCGATTGTATCTCACTCAATTACATGCAGATAAACAGGGACACTACGACGATACTCTTAGTGTTATTGGCCTAGTGTAAGCAGGTCTTGCGGGCTGACTCGCGACGTCATCTACGCTCCGTTTAAACGCGCTCTGATTGGTCGCATTACTGCAACTTCAACCTTAATTATCTCAAAATTTTGATATATGAAATGAAAACTGAAAATATACGTATTCATTAGAATTTGACAAAGAATGCAACGATGTTACTACAGTGCGTTTCATAACGAACACCCTGTATATGATGTGATACGAAGTACATGTGTATATCTAATGTATATTCAATATCCGCAATTGTATATATAATGTACATGAAATATATATGGAATTGCTATATGGGTGGTAGCTAAGCCAATTGTACAAATAGCATTCAATTTCAATTTTAAGTAGAATTTTGCTCCCATTCAAGTTGGATAATTCTACTGAACTGTAACTGATGACTGCAACAATTACCAGTGAAAGTATCATACAAGCTAATGTCAGTTTAGAATTAATAGGAAGCGAATCGAAATTTTTGATCCGTGTATCAAAAGAACAAAAACGTATCTGTAGTCCAACATATCGAAGGAACCTGTTTTTACGAAACTTCTTTACGTCAAAAAGCTTAAAATAAAAAGATGGCGGAGATAAATTATAGACTAGGTCCGCGTAATAGGAATGTAACAGTCAATCTCTTATTATAAAATTTGATTATTACCTTAGGGTGTTCCCGGACTGGCACCAGAACCTTTACTGCTACGCGAATTGGCTTCTCTCGATAAATGTCCACATATTTGGGGTCCCTCAGAGGCTTCCCAATAGCTTGAGTTTTTTGAATCTCTGTAATCCCAAAGAAATGCCAGTTAACGTGTGCAATTGGAAAATACCATCGTACATTTCAAAACATAATCACTTTTCCCATTTCTACCAGAGTATGTGCATACAAATTTATCATTATATTGTAGATGCTGTGTAGTTTTCCATAAACACAACTCGGATTCTAGCCAGCAGGTCCGAAGACAAGCTTTGGACCACGAACGTTGTTCCATAGAGCGCATAGTAAAGCTGACTAACAAGGAAGGTACCTCAGGTATCGTCCTTCTAATCCTTATGATGAATAATGAAAAATGCATTTTCGTCAGTCCTGGGGGTTGAACAAAATTATAGGGATTGAAAGGTGCACAATTTTTATAACAAAAAAACTATCGATTCGATTTTGATGAAACCAATTGCATTTGAAATTACTAAAAAAAAAGTAGAAGATACATGTTTTTGAAAAAATGTTTACGAAAAAAATGTCGCTTAAGGGGTGAGTAGTAATAGATCCGTTATAACGAGACCTGGAGGCGTGGTTAAGTAGGGGTGGGGCGTGAATCCCAAAAGTTTTACGGTTGAAATTTTCTGTTTCAAAATTGGAAGTAGAAATTTTTCTGTATGAAAACTAAACGGTAGCAGTAAAACTATCAGGCAAAGCGATATGTCGGAAAGTAAAAAGGAAAATTGAAAGATAAGCCTACATCGTGACGAAAAAAAGAGGGCTGAGACATTTTCGCACAACGAAACATTTTCTGAAATCTTGGAGAAGAACTGCAACGAACGGCTAGGATTTCTGGAGCCTGCACATTTCAGCCAGACAATCTAACGCTCCTAGGCGACCACGTGTTTCGTAGACAACGAGTTTTAACTCACAATCGTAAGGGTAGCTACCTAAGTAAAATTTAGGATTGACTTTAAGATATGAGTTATAAGATAAATTAGGTTTGTAAACGCTTTGTAAAACTGTCTATAGAGTGAATAAAGATAAACTTTCATCCGCAAGATTTAATAAACATGGTGCTCTCGACACAGAAAAAGAATATGGTGTGTGATGTGCGTATGCGAAGAATCGAAGAAAGGAAAAGGATGGCCTGGTGTGGTACGAAGGATGTACAAACGTTTCCTGGGCATTTGATATTTTTGATTTGCATTTCTTATTCGCAATGAAAATACATTTTGCAACAGGACCTTTTGAAGATTAGGAAGTTAAATACTTTGAAGAATAAGGATAATGGAATAAAGTCAATTATTTATGTTATATAATCTGTTTTTATTTACTCTTCATACAATTTTTCTATGCTTTAATTTAAGGCATACAGTCGTCCCAGTTAAAACTGCAATCTAAACGCTCGAGTGAACTATTTACTAAGTTGTGTATCGCTAATGCTACTAATTCTGTGGAGAGATGATTAAATATGCAATGCGAACGAAGAAATGATCATCAGCGAACGTCAGATGGAACATATACCTGACTCTAATTTTAAAAGTTTTTCAAAACATTGTCTCTTAAAAGCAATACTATTTTTCCCCGATGTTATTTTTATTTCGCGGTCACCATATAATTCACACAATATAACATTACAATTTGCGAGGGGTATCGTAGACCATTCATTATTTTTTGTAACAATAGTAGCAGTATCAATAAAGTGGGCTATGAATTTCTCAGAGTGATCGAGAAGTCGCCAATCCAATGGTAGAAGCGTAACCCCATCCCCTCTACAACCAAGGAGTTGTAAAGTCGGTTGATATCCATTGTGAATGTCTAGCCCCACGACGATACGCTTCTGATTGTTTAAGTTGTATGCAGTTTGCATCATCAGCAATGGTGATGGTTTTGGAACGGGTAACGATGTAGATGTAGAAGGCGTGGGGCATTCACACCCACAGATCTTTTAAGCGACATCCTGTTTTCTCCTTCGTTAAGTGCTACCTTTTTTTCGTTTACAATCGCCTTCGTTTTACTTATTTTTCCTCTTCCCATTTTCCACGTCAGATTTTTCCGCAAGTAGTGATTCTTTTAAGGCCAGACGATCAGGTATATACCCTCAGGCCGTTTTACACCCCCAGTACGATAGACTGGACACATTTTCGTACAAACTTTTTCCAAACGTTGAGATTACTCGTACATTTGAGGGTTCGCACACATTATCCAATGTTCGACGCCCTCACACTTCTCTTCATGGTATAAAGCGGCGTGAGTAGCTGGACAATCCCAATTAGAACTTTGAGAGTTGACCAATTTAACAAGGATATCTGAGATGTAACTAACAATGTTTATTACTGATTGAAGATCCTGGGAAACGACGCTTCTTAAAGGGTTAGAGCATCATCCTCCACTGCTTATCCACCATCCCTACATAATAACAGAAACTGGTAGCAGTACGAAATCTTAAAAATATTTTCTTAGTATTTAAACTTGACACTTTGAAACACTTTACAGTTTTCTAGTACGTTTGATCGTGTTAAGTTATGGATCCCCGCTGGATTCACCCGTGGTCGGCCATTGTGGCAGGACCTAGTTCATGCGGAAAAAGCTATTTCGTTAAAAACTTTATAAAATACATCAAGGATATGAGCGATGTTAAATTTCCTAGAATTATCTGGTATTATTCCGAATCACAGCCTATTTATCGTCCGAAAGAGTTGGAGAGTGTTGAGTTTCAGGAGGGGTTACCTTCCTGCTCAGACTTTACCGGAGAACACCCCATACTAATAATTATAGACGACATGATGCGGAAATCTAATGAACAGATAGTTGATATTTTTACAAAAGGTTGTCATCATAAAAACTTTAGCGTATTCTTCATTACTCAAAATATTTTTCCTCAGGGACGAGGTCAGCGTGATATATCTTTAAACGCGTTTTTCTGAAAACTACGTTTTTAAAGTCGGTGTGCACGATTTCTCGGAAACAACTGAACCGATCGATTTCAAATTTGTACACAAACTTTGTAAATATATTTTTTAGTGATTAATCGAAGGTTTAAATCTTTACCTGATTGGCGATAAATATTTTACATTTTATAAACAATTTAAGGCTAATATTATGATCAAAGATCGAAACTTTTTTTTTTTTGAGAAGCCGCGATTTTTTGGCAAAATAATATTTTGCTTATTCCTTCGACTAATTACGAGATAATACGTTATATTAACTAAATCTTTTTGGTTTTTTCATTTCACATCATCCAGACACGAGTTCTCGTGCACACTGCCGAACAACCTTTCTTAGAGGAGCGCTCGGAGATCTACTGTATCGGCCTTAAAAATCATTATTTTCGAAAATAAAAAATATTACAATAAAGTTGAAAGCCGTAACAAAAATGCTATCATAAACTCCTCCCCGCCACCTGGCTCGAGGACACCACTGGCCCCGAGCACGATCATTGCATGTATTATTGAGAAATATTGTTTGTTGCGTATATTCAGCGTTTTAGATCTCTTGTATTCAGTTTAAGATTCCTTCCCTTCACCCCTCCCCCCCTTGGAAGGCACCAGCTTGAGGACCGTCATCGAGGACCACCACCGCGGACCTTCCACAAGGACAACAGCCATCCCTGGACGAATCGCGAGAGTGGCTATGTTGCCGAGGCAACGAAAGGCAGGGAAGACATGGGCAGAGAACAGCTGATTGAGCCACGTGGGAACGATGCCCGTCCAGCCCGCCACCATCACCACGTGTATGAAGTAGTACAGAGGCCCGTGTGATAAGGGTGGAGCCCTCTCCTTCCAGCTCCGTGGACGTGCCCGGAAGGATTTTTGACAGGCCTAGAGGCCGTCATCTTGCCCGGGGCGCGACAGCCAGCCCACGCGCCGTCGAAGCGGTCCAACCAATGCCCCGAGGCCCTCGAGGCCCATTGAGGGAAACATCGAGAACCGTAAATCTGCATATCACCACTTCGAGCCAGGGTATCGTTAGCGACAGGGTGAACTTTGTGAATCAAGTGAGAATACAAGTGTGCAATCTTTTGAATTACGTGTGTGGCGGATACAGTTTGAGTGAGTATCGTATAATTGCGTTTTCCTTTTCTCCGTTCCCTACCCCCTTTTTGCTTTTGCGTTTTGATATTTAGTAGATTCCCTTTTGGATTTAGCGAGCCGTCCCACGTGAATCGGCATTTTTGCGTAGTTTCTTTCTTGGTATTTCCAACGGGCCCACAAAGCGCCCAACGGGCCCACGAGCTCGACCCCCGCGGTATATTGCGTGCGACGTAGTTTAAGTATCTTGCACCCTTTTTGGGAGACCCTCCGTGTACTTCCCTTCCTCGTCCGTTTTCCAATATTGTAAAGCCGAGGTAATTTGTAAGAAGCCATTTTGTGTTCAGGAACCTTCCTCCCTGAGACCCCTCACCTCTTCACCTGCTGCATTGCCATTTCGTGTTACAGTAAATCTTCGAGGACCTTACGAGGTCACTCGACGGTGCTACACCGAATAAGTAGCTGGCGCCCATTTGTTGTTTTTGAAATATCTAGTGTCGGTTTCTTTCTGCCTTTTCGTTTTCCCTTTCTGCCCCTCCTGTCCCCCTTGCCCGTAACATGCCTCTCCGTCCCCCGATCCCCCTCTTCCCGCCGAGGCCATTTAAATCCCTACGTCCCCGTGTGCTCCCGAGCGAGCACCCGCGTGTTATTGTTGTGGATCTGTCAATTCTGAATATTGCATCTTTTGAGTTTACCTTCCTAGTTTATTATCTTCTGGTTTCTTTTGTTCTATTTTATTGTATACCGGTATTTGCTTCTATTAATTATATCTTGTTACTTATTCTACACCGTGTTCCCTTTCTTCTAGTGTTCCCTCCCTGTTGCGATAGCTAATTTCGGTAGACCCTGGGTGAACTTAACCACCCAGAGCACGTCACAATGCATACAAATTTTCAAGTCAATAAATTAACCCTTTCCGGTCGTATGTCTGCTCTCAGCCACCACAGCAAGGAACTATACGAATCGTATACTGTATGCATTCATGTATCAGTTTACACTTCTCCTATACGAACCTCAATGCCTAAAGAACCTATTCACGAACCAATACG